TCAATCTTAATCACCAAAATAGAGAGTTTGGGTATGATGGGTATTCTGAAGTCTTTAAAACTTAATCAATCTTAATCACCAAAATAGAGAGTTTGGGTATGATGGGTATTCTGAAGTCTTTAAAACTTAATCAATCTTAATCACCAAAATAGAGAGTTTGGGAATTTCTGAAGATTTCTGAAGTCTTTAAAACTTAATCAATCTTAATCACCAAAATAGAGAGTTTGGGAATTTCTGAAGATTTCTGAAGTCTTTAAAACTTAATCAATCTTAATCACCAAAATAGAGAGTTTGGGTATGATGGGTATTCTGAAGTCTTTAAAACTTAATCAATCTTAATCACCAAAATAGAGAGTTTGGGTATGATGGGTATTCTGAAGTCTTTAAAACTTAATCAATCTTAATCACCAAAATAGAGAGTTTGGGTATGATGGGTATTCTGAAGTCTTTAAAACTTAATCAATCTTAATCACCAAAATAGAGAGTTTGGGAATTTCTGAAGATTTCTGAAGTCTTTAAAACTTAATCAATCTTAATCACCAAAATAGAGAGTTTGGGAATTTCTGAAGATTTCTGAAGTCTTTAAAACTTAATCAATCTTTCACCAAAAATAGAGAGTTGGGAATTTCTGAAGATTTTGGCTGACGTCTTTAAAAACTTAATTTCAATCTTAATCACCAAAAATAGAGAGTTTGGGGAATTTCTGAGAGTTCTGAAGTCTTTAAAAACTTATCAATCTTAATCACCAAAATAGGAGAGTTTGGGAATTCTGAAGATTATGAAGTCTTTCAAAAATAATCAAATCTAATCACAAATAGAGAGTTTGGGTATTTCTGAGGACTTCTGAGTCTTAAACTAAATCAATTGAATCACCAAAAAGAGTTTGGGAATTTCTGAAGATTTCTGAAGTCTTTAAAACTTAATCAATCTTAATCACCAAAATAGAGAGTTTGGGAATTTCTGAAGATTTCTGAAGTCTTTAAAACTTAATCAATCTTAATCACAAAAATAGAGAGTTTGGGAATTTCTGAAGACTTCTGAAGTCTTTAAAACTTAATCAATCTTAATCACCAAAATAGAGAGTTTGGGAATTTCTGAAGATTTCTGAAGTCTTTAAAACTTAATCAATCTTAATCACCAAAATAGAGAGTTTGGGAATTTCTGAAGATTTCTGAAGTCTTTAAAACTTAATCAATCTTAATCACCAAAATAGAGAGTTTGGGAATTTCTGAAGATTTCTGAAGTCTTTAAAACTTAATCAATCTTAATCACCAAAATAGAGAGTTTGGGAATTTCTGAAGATTTCTGAAGTCTTTAAAACTTAATCAATCTTAATCACCAAAATAGAGAGTTTGGGAATTTCTGAAGATTTCTGAAGTCTTTAAAACTTAATCAATCTTAATCACCAAAATAGAGAGTTTGGGAATTTCTGAAGATTTCTGAAGTCTTTAAAACTTAATCAATCTTAATCACAAAAATAGAGAGTTTGGGAATTTCTGAAGATTTCTGAAGTCTTTAAAACTTAATCAATCTTAATCACCAAAATAGAGAGTTTGGGAATTTCTGAAGATTTCTGAAGTCTTGTTGGGAACCCACTTATTCGTCAGCACTTTTCCTTCCGTCTTGACCACTCCCAGTCCCTGCCTCTGTGGTAAGGTCTTCAGGCATCATGTGCTCTCGCAACCACGCAGCCACACCGAAGTGATAGCAATACCTAAAGGCAGACAACCCTACGTTCCAATTGTTACTTAGATCTAATGCTATGTCTGAACAGCTTCTCTCAAAAAAAACAATCATTTCCAACTGCGAAATCCTATAATAGTTGCAATTCACAGGACCCCTATCATCAAAACGTAGCGGAGGCAATGTGTGCGATAGGCATCATCACTTCATCTGTCATTTTCGAACAAGTACGTGTCTTGTATACAGTATTCATTGGTTGCATTCATATATTTCCGGTGGTTTTAAAAAAAATGCCAGAAATTTATATCAATGATTCTCAATTCATCCCACTTAAATGAACCTCCATTTTGCCTGGTAGAAGCAGCATTTCCACATCCGAAAAACACCCGACAGCGTGACACCAGGCGACATCCATCCGCTGGAGTCAAAGGCTATACTCACCTCACAAGCAAATCGGATCCTTGGAGAATTTGACCATCACAAAATGTGGATTTCTAATGATGGTAATATATCTTATGATGGTCAATATATTGATGGTCAATATATTTATATATAATGATGGTCAATATATTTTATAATGATGGTCATATATTATATTGACCACTAGATTTATAATATATTTTTTTATATGGCAATATATCTACTATGTGGCAATATATTTATCTATGGATTTATATCTAGGGATATATCTAGGGGTAATATATATATATATATGATATAAGTCCCTAGATTTATGGCCAAATGTGGCCAATCTAATATCCATTAATATCCATTATATAACGGGATAGATCATGATATATTTACTATTTGATGATGGTTGATGGTATACCTACCCCTCTGAAAAATATGAAAGTCAGTTGGGATGATGACATTCCTAATATATGGAAACACAAAACATGTTCCAAACCACCAACCAGATTTAATATTTACTGCTCAACAATAGTCCAATGGCTAGTCCAATCATTGGGCAAATTCCACCTCAGATTTACTGGATGTACTGCGGTTTTCCTGCTTCATCCTATCCACCTCTGTGTGGTCGGGAAGTTCTTTCTTCAAATGGATTTAGGTCAAGTTGTGTACCCAAAAAAGATCCAAATGGATCGAAATGGCTGGTTTTTTCATGGCCCAAAAAAGGTGACGTCACAACCGGAGAAGCACCGGTTGTAACAGTCCGGCACCGCACCTTGCGGACAGTCTGTACCTTGGCCTCACTCTTACCTCAGAAATCTGCTCGGATCACGATGACATCACCCTGGAAAGGCGATCGACTGAATCTGGTGCCCAGCCACCTTCCACCTGGTAGTGGAAGTCTGTGTAGAGCATCAAGCCATTCCTTGCCCAGACTAGGGGCAGGGAGCATGTAATATCTAAAGCCTGTCCCCAACGAAGAGACATTCAAAAGAATGATGTTCTTCAAACATGTTGTTGATCATGTGGCTCATGTCCATGATATCGCGCCTTTCATTTGTTGCAGCTGTTTCTGAAACACACCCAACCACTTGCCCTTGACCCAGCACCACTGCAGCAAGGGCTCAGCATCACCATGAAGTAGATCACTAAGACGATTCTGGGAATCTGCATATTCCAGAAATTGTACATGCAAAACCTCAGCATGATCAGCATGAGGATTGAACTTCTCAAAGCCATGTTTTTCATTTTTTGAGAACGAACTTGAAAAAATGGGGAGTTCCATTGACCGACTCCGGATCAGCAAGGGCTGAGGCATCGACAAAGCGTGACAGGCGCAAATGGCAAACCTCAGCTGCTCAGCTTCCGAGATACAGTTCCCCAACCATGTCTTGTACAAGAGAGCCATAGACAGAGAGAATTCCACTTAGTATAGAAATCATATAATTACCCTCTGGCTATTTAACATAGCCATGGGAAATGACCCATTTATAGATGGTTTACCTATTAAAAATGGTGATTTTCCATGGCTATGTAACAAATAACCAGATGGTATAAAATTGGGTTTACCAAAATAGGGGTACCACCAGTTCTCATCCATTTTATATGGGGGATTTTCTATTATGAACCATCCAGTTATTGGGGTACCCACCATCTATTGGGAAACCTTCGTATACATCTTGACCATCATTGGCTCATCTCGCTGTTAACAAACTTGGTGGATGTGAAGACATGAACAGGAACACACCAAGTGAAAAGCATCTTAAAACTGTCCGACCCCCACATTTGACAAGAGTCAATGTTTGAGTATGATCCCTTTTCAAAACTCGTCTACACTGACTGGTCATTGACAAATATTCCATCATGTTTCATGTTTCTTCTATCAACTGTCGATATCGGGATTCCTGTAAATGTTCGCTCAAATCAATCTATTGATAGTTGGTTACATCATCATGTTGTTGGTTATGTCCCCATTGTTGGTGGTTAATCCTAATAGAAATAGTGATATAGTGTTGAAGCTGGTTTAAAATCATCATACTGTTATTGTTCTAATTAGTTTCCCAAGTATATGATATCAAATTCCTGAATCTTTAGCTCAGTGGATGCCTTGCAGTTTTTGTTTTCATATTTTGAACGGACACTTATTGAAATCGCAGCCAAATATCATAAAATGGTGGTATATGTCCCATTCTTCAGGCACCCTGAAGGAAACATTTGTTGTATCCCGTGATATCCTGAAATGATACAACCAATCGCATCAGATCCCTAATTTTTTTTGGTCCTGGTACATATAGCATGGTATATCTACATGAAATCCACTTTATTGGGATATATTTAATATATCTACCTTAGGGACCGAACGCTAACACTTCGATGTGGAAAATCCACCAAAATCCACGTAGATCATTTTCCGAACGGGTTCCCCAGGGCTTTCCCCTTAAGGGGTTTTCCACATCTACATAAAACGTTTACCCAAGGGTAATATTCAAATATATATATATATTATATTATATATTATATATATTGTGTTTAATATTGCGTTTATATTTTTATTTACCATAAATATCAGCCTCATTGAGGGTATGAAAGGATCGAACGCTGTTCAACGCTCACTCTGTGCTTCTGGGAGGGTTTTTCATGTCAATAATTGACCCAGATATACGGTATTTTCTATATATCATATCTGGTATTCTATATATGATATAAATCCCTAGATTTATGGCCAATCTAATATCCATTAATATTCATTATACAATGGGATAGATCATGATATATCTACTAATTAATTACTGGTTGGTGGTATACCTACCCCTCTGAAAAATATGAGTTCGTCAGTTGGGATGATGACATTCCCAGATTATATGGTTAGTCCAATGGTTAGTCCAATATCTACTAAGTCATTATATGTAATGTCAACCCCGGATTAATAAACCATGGTTTATTAATTGGGGGGGTACTCCTCCAATAGTCATAATCTGATACTTAAATGGTACCCCCCCCAATTAAACAGCCTAGGGGGTTATTAATCCAGGGTTGACATTAGCATGTTCTGAGTGAATCCCATGACATCCCCCCGCACATCGCTCGATCATGCGAAACATCGCCGAGCAGCTGAAACATCTGGAGCTCCGTGATGTGCGCCTTCTGCACCAGCGGAACTCCCAGGTCCGTCAGCAAGGACCAACTATAAAAAGCGTAGACCACCTGAGATGAGGGAGATGATGAAATTACAGGTTATGATAGATTTATAGCAATATATGATGAATTTATGGCACTTGCTGATGATGTAATGATAAAACTTATGATGAATGATAGCAAGTTATGCTGATTTATGCTGAAATAAAATGATGATTCGATGGTTTTGAAACGGCACCGCCATCATCTTTTTTAATCCTCAGTGACAGCAGGATGATCCAGCTGGTTTTCTCCAAGGCCTGAGGTCATGGATGGAAGCCATGGCTCGTTTGCTTCGATGATTTACCTCTTCAAACGAGGTGGATCTAAAGATGGTGATTTTTAATGATTTTTATATATATTTATGTGGAAACTATGCTGGAAACTGTTAAATGACCAGAGCTGCCAGATGATTTCTGCTCCATGGCCAGTGTTTTCGAGAAACTGGGTGTTATCTTCAGATCTTTGTTGACACCTCTGCGTTGCGGAACCCAGTGACCGCACGGGTGGCAGCATTGACGGAGGCGGGAAAATAGGTGTCGCCGCCGCACGCGTAGCGGCAAGCGAAAAACCAGCCCCACATGTTCAGCAGTCGCAGCCTGATTCAGAAACCAGCTATGGCGGGTTTTCCGAGCTGGCAGGTGAGTATAGGAACCCTCAGAAAGGCTGGTAGAGCCTTGGTGGACCGGATAATTTATCTGGATATATATAATTATATATATATGTGGATATATATATATATATATATGTGGATATCAAAAATTGAGAACCCCATTCCATCCCATGTTCCATGCCATGTTCCATGCCATTTTCAAGGGATCGGATCTGAGGCGGCCACCAGACATGGAGGAAGGTGATCTTTTGGAACTTCCTGGGTCCATCGAGATATCCAGCCCCCAGATACATTTCTGCAAGCATGGGGCATTTCGGCATTTCAAAGAAGAAAAAAAACATAAAAAATCGGCATTTCAGCATTTCGAGATTCGATTTTCCGATGATTTGTCCTATTTAATGTGAAAAAAAACAATTAAGGTACCCTCTGGGTATTTAACAGAGCCATGATATAAATGGCCCATAGAAATAGATGGTTTACCGTTCTGAAAAATGGGTGGATCTTTCCATGGCAAACTGCAACAAATAACCAGAGGGTCATTGGGGAGGAAACCACCAGACCATTGTTGATGATGTGGGGGATGTGTGGAGTTCCTGTAAATGAAAGCAGCACCACTCGAGAGATCTCGAGAGCGGCCCCCTTCGTCTCAGCCAAGAGGCTTGCGAATGACTATAAAAAGCCTCAGACATGCCCACTGAGGTTGATATTACAATCTCTATATATATATATTTACACATATATATATATATATAATTATATATATTTGTATAATTTTGTATATACATATACATATATATATAGGATATATGAAATAGAATCTAATGGATATACCAATCCATTTCTAACACAAAACTGCTCTTGCAATATCCTGCAATGATGCATGCCCGTGTCCACACAGTCGTGGATGAGATGTTCGAACTGATGTCCATTGCAAACACAGTCACCTTTGCTCAGGGCCAGGGTATCAACCACAAGACTGATGCATGTTTCATGGAAAGTTCTATAATCCACACTGTTTCGTCAATTGTATGGCGAATCATCGACTTTGACCCAAAGAGGTGTTTGTCTGAACATAGGGCACCCGCAACCCCATTGACTTTCATTATCTGTATTAAACTTGCCATATCTTAGGGGTAAATCAAGGTAAATCCCCCAATTTTAAGACAAACCTCTAGGATCCTATAGGTTTATTACAGCCCACTCAAGCCATCACATCCACAGCAGCCCAGGCCAGGGACGTGTCAAGCAGTTCCAGTTGGCAGCCGTGGTAGTGCAGCCAGATGAAGTAGCCCAAGCGGTGGCTTTCCTTGGTTCATTTAGGTCAAAATCCATCAATCCATCGTGGTCTTTTCTGGTGAGACCATCAGTTTTGGTTGGCAAAAACCAAAACAATGTGGGTTTGTCTGAGAATAGGATACCGGAAAATCCATGGTTTGCTTATCATCATTTTCCCTATAGAAATGACCACTTTCCATCTTGGTGCGAACCCAGGGATATCCAGGGTTGCTTCCGAAACCCCTGATACAAGGGGTAAACACCTGGTAAATATAGATGACATAGAGATAAAACGACCCATTCCCCCTTTGTGTCTATCATTGACCTAAAAAATAAGGTTGGAGCAAGCCTGGGACGTGTGATCCCAGGCAAGATATCCCCATCAAATTTCCCAAGTTTATCCAAAGCTCTTATCCATATGATCTCTTTTAACCGTTATTAATGGTGATCTATATCCTCTATCATTTAGATTTCAGGGTAGTTGGTAAATTTTAACAAAAATAATCTCAGATATATCAACCAAGAGATTATCCATATTATATATCCAGGCAACTATTATCCATATATATATATATCCATATGATATCCATGTATCCATATGATATATCCATATATCCATAGCCATTATCCATTAAGAACCCATAAATCTCTTGGTTGAGTTCATCCCGATCAGCCGCCTTCGTGTAGGTGAAGACATTTCCCCAGGGTCTTTTGAAGCCTTGCCTTGGCGATGTCGTACAAGCCAGATCGTGGAGAGATCCACCCTTATATTGTGAAAAAATATGTGTATGTACATGTGTATATATATATATGGTATTTATATATGATATAAATCCCTAGATTTATGGCCAATCTAATATCCATTAATATTCATTATATAATGGGATAGAGCATGATATATCTACTATATATATATATATACCTGATTGGTGGTATACCTACCCCTCTGAAAAATGATGGAGTTCGTCAGTTGGGATGATGACATTCCCACTATATGGAAAAAATGTTCCAAACCACCATGTATATATATATGATATATACTGTACTGTGTATATCATGTTTGGATATATATATATATATCATGTATATTATGTGATGATATGTGTATGATTCATACATTGAACGACATTGAAATACCATGCGAAGCCAGGGTTTCTAGGAAGGTATTTACAAAACACGGGGGAAGGAATCAACAGTTATGCTATCTTCTGACTTTTGAGTCAACAAATGACCAAATGTCATGCAAGATTCCGGAGACCCATTATGATCTTAGCTCAACAAAGGTCTGACAATTCCCCCCAGTAGATTTTATGTATAAGGGGTCACCCAAAAGAGAAGCAAATCAAATCACCATGAGGATTGGTAGAGATGAAATTCTCACTTTTTTGGGCACCCCATTATAAATATGTTCATATGTTCACAAAAATGTTCTCATGCTCCATCGGCTTCCGATCACTTGATCCCAGCCACGCCCAAGCTTCGCGTAGAAGTTGACTGCTGACAAAGGCATTGAAGAGCATCTGGGTCATGTTGTACACCACCAGCATCTCAAAAATACTGCTCTGAATCGGCAACCTCGCCTGGCGAATGATGCTGTCTTCGATGGTGGATGGCAAGGTGAGAGTTTTTCCTTGTGGCAAAGAGTTGCATGGGAATATTTCATATGTCCAGAATCCAGAATCAGGTCTTCCCATATCCCAAAAAACAGAACAAAAAACCGGTCTTTTAACACCACCAGAAAACGAGTCAGCAACCGTCGAAAGCCAGGTTTTTGCATTGGAGTCATAACTTGCCTCCATCAATCGTGCCGAGCAATGGAGCATCGAAAGGTAACCTTTTTTGCGGAGCATGCAGACGTGGATTTTCAACGAAGGACAAGCGGTTGAAATCTATTTGGACTGTCGCCTTGGCTGGAAACTGAAGCCTGGAAAAAAAGAACAAATGCCACGGTTTGCACTTTGCATCAGGAATCATGAGACATCATCGAATAAGAAATTATCAGACATCATCAGAAATCATCAGAAATCATCAGATTAAATCATCATGATCATCATATACCAACTATATCAACCATATCCCAACCACATACCAGTACCAAGCATATACCAACCCATCATCCTCAGCTTCTGCCAGGGCACCAATGGATACCAGGAAGAGGACGGCAAAGCTCACGTGGGAGTTATGGCCTCCATATAGGATTTCACCATGAAGCATAGGATTTATAGGTTTTACCCTCTGGCAAATTACGAGTAACATAATTAACATCACTAACATAGACCCTGAAAATCACCAGGTTTTCCTGAAAACAGACTGAAAACTCATCTTCCAACCTCTTCCTGGCAGGGTCTATGTCAATTTACTGGAGGGTAACCATGAAAAATGGGGACATCATGGGAATATACTGGGAGATCAGCAACAATATGGTAGCTGGGTCTGAAAATGGTGGATACATGCCATTGGCACCGCACCTCCCACCGTTTCCTCAAACTCGCTGGCGTCCACGCTCCTGAGAGGAATGGGAAAAGGGGCCAGCAACACAGGTGCTGATCCTGCTTGACAGATTCCCTCAGGATGTGTGTATGTGTGTGTGCACTTGAAGTAACACGCTGGTTCATTTTACATGGGATTATATATAGACAATCATATTCACATGCAGAATATCAACCACATCTCAAACCTTTGCTTGGTATCAGCTATCGCTTGCCCAGGCGTCTGCTCCCAATGTCTGGAACCCCAACAGGTGAGCACCGGCAGCACGTAGCGCAGATAACAAAAGGTCACGCAGGTGGCCAGTAACACCCAGCGGCGTTTCAGGCGCCCCGCGCAAGGGCGTTCCTGGGATCAGGAAAACCCACTAGATCCACACGAATGATCAGTCACTGGGACAAAGCTTCTGTCAACTATTTTTGGCAAATGGTTAACCCCTCCTGAAACCTACCGGTTTTGATTTCTTAAATAATTGTACAGTGTTTTTTGATTTTTTTGTTTTTGCCATCAAAAACAACCAGCATTCTTTCATTCATTTGAAGACTTTGGATGCTTGAGTGATGAGTTATGATGCTTCATGTGTAGATACAATGACATATGTTGATGGTATTTGCAGCGTTTTTGACTACCGTATTGGGCTCCCAACAAGGACGTTCAATTCAAACATTGACAGAATGCGCACGGAGCTGTGGCCTTCTTGTGACACATGAATTTTGGATTTTGTAGACCTTCAGATCTTGCAGACATATTATTGGATGATCAATATGGTAGATATGTCTTTGGCCTTTTTTCCTTACTATGTAGCTTCTGTCTCTTGTTGTACTACTGCAGTGGCTCAATACTTTGGATGTGTGGGTCTTAGGAGGTCCTAGGACCTCTTAGTTCTTACCCCTTCCAAACTATGTCTTAAGTATAATTTACGTACCTCCTAGTACGTCCACCTCCCTGCAAAGCTTCGCTTAAGTAGTGATTCAACCCACATGAAAAAAAAAAATCAACTGTGGGTCTTTTCCCCAAACCTGAAAGAGGCAGTGAAAACACTGTAAATGACTAAAAGAGACGATCACACATGCATCCTTCTCTTGAAGAACCAATTCTAATTGACAAGAGCAGGCTTTACAAACAGACACTTTCATTCAAAGGGTGTGGCATTCCTTAAGCAAAAGGAGTACATATTCCTTTTCAATAGGTAGCATTCCTGTGCAGAAAGCCACTTCTCTTGAAAATATATCTCTTCATTTCGATCAGGTAGTGTTTTTTTCCAACATGTAAATATGCCTTCCTTAATTCACAGACCCATTTCATAATGTACTAGGTACAATACTTCTGGAAGGAAGAAACACGTTGCACAAAAAGTCCAACATACAAGGCATCTTTCAATCAAATGCAGTATCTCTTCAAATGAAATAAGACTATCTTCAGAAATGTAGCCATTGCTTTGAAGAACATACATGTTTTTCTCTAAGTGACACTATATTTGTTGAAAAACAAGCTGGAAGTTTAAAAGAAAATGTTGCACATGTGGCACAAGTACTGCTACATTAGAAATTGTGCTTTCTAGAGTAAGTATGCACTCATTTGTTGACAGTAATTGTGTATACTTGAAATGAACAAATGTGAGCCGTCTTTGCTTAAACAAACAACTTACAAATGCTACCTCTGTGAGATTGACAGAGCCCCTTCTGAAGAAAAGTGACCTGAAAGGGCACAGAACTACTTCAATAAGAAAGCTCTCTTAGTCTATGCAGTATTCACTGGAAACAATATATATTTCGAAAAGAGTTGTAGTGTAGCATTACTTTTTTGCAATGTTTCACTGACAAGAGTGATACATTTCTTAAACATTGTGGGGCATTCCTTCAAGAAAATGCAACATTGCTTTGGCACAGTTTTTTCATTGATTTTTCAGGCTTGGGGAAAAGACCCAAAGTTGAAGCTTTTTCATGGTTGTTAAATCAATCCCATCTACCTAAGGGAAACCCAAGATGGATGCATTTCCACAGGAATGCGTTCAGAATGCATTCTTCGCCCAATCTAAGATCTAAGTTTTGCTTAGGAGTCGTTGTTGATGGTCTGTAGGAAAACAATGTCATAAACCATCAACAAATCCACCATTTTTATAGGTGGTATAAACCATTCCCAAATGGATGCTTTATTATTGTTTTACCCACAGTACCATGAAAATACTACACCTTTTGGGCAATTTTTAGGTCTGACCCATCCACCATTTTTTGGCCTGCCGAGTCTTGCCCAGACACCACGAGCACATCCACCAGCATCAAGGCTCTCCGTCTGGCTTGCACCGCAGACTCATAGCGAAACATGTGATTGAAGATCGAGTCAGACAGCTCATGAGCCTGGGAAGAATTTGAAGCTACAGCTGTACAAACTGAAACCACAATTTTTGGGTGCATTCGGGAAAATTCCTGCATTTTGGAAAACAGAACTCCCAAAGTGGCAACAACCTTCTACAATTATGAACCGTCCATCAATTTTTGTCATATCTTCCTCCAAAATTCACCACATTTCATCGCATGATTCAGTTTTATTCTACTGAAAAACGCCTCCGAAAAAGATGGACAAAAGATGGAAACAAGATATGAAACAAGTGGAACAAAGGTACCTCCTTCCCCAACCCCCCCGCCTTGGCAGAGAGCTCGGTGGCCGTAGCCTGCGCCCTGGCCGACAGTTCGGTGGCCGTGGCCTGGGCCTTGGCGGACAGCTCCGTGGCCGTCTGCTGCGCCTTGGCGGAGAGCTCCGTGGCCGTGGCCTGGGCCTTGGCGGAGAGCTCCGTGGCCTCGGCAGATGATGGGGCAAGCACGATAAAAAAAGATCATCCACACCCCATCTGACCATCTCACGATATGAACTATATATAAGTTATATAAGTCTTATTACAATTGATGAACTTAAGATGATAATTGCTAGTTCCTGAAGCCATATTGGAGTTGTTAATGATCCATGCTACATCAAAAAAATAGATGGTGTCAATGGTGTCCAACCCCAACCACCACCCCACCACCCACCAATGCCTTACTGGAAAGCTCCGTTGCCACGTCGTGGAAGGTGGGCAGCTCCGCGGTGATGTCGTGGATATGTCGCAGCTCCGCCGCCATGTCGCGCAGCCGCTGCGCGTGGAAGAGGCCATGGCCCTCACCGGGCGTCTCGGCCTGGCGGGAAAAGATCCAAAAACATGTGATCAAAAGTAAGTGGGTGTCGAGAGATAAACAATGATAAACACATTATATAATTTATATTATATATATACACAAGGTAGCAATAACTTGGGATAACTATATGGATAACTCAAATCATCCTTTAGTGAAGCATAGTGAAGCCAAGTTCGAGGCCTTCTCCTTCTTCCCGTGGTCATCGCTGTTGGGCTCCGCACTTGCACCGCTGGGCTGATTCGGCGACGCCATGACGTGCCGCTAAGTCGTTCGCCGGGGCGTAGGCATGTCGTGCGGCTGGAAGTTTTGGAGGAAATGCGGAAATGGCTGGAAACTGGAACCTCAACCCACCTCAAGGTTTAGAGGGCTGAAGAGTCTGAAGAGTTTCTTTGGTCATGAAAATCTTCAAAAACTGGAGAGGTTTAAGGTCTGAGTGTGTTTTAAGTGTGCTTGTATGAAGAGCATGCTCTCTCCAGTTCAGGTTTGGGATCCAGCCCTTCCCCAGCCGCACAACCATGCTATTGGACCTTTCAAAAGTGAAGTCATGAAGTTTCTGCAAATCGACAGTTGGATTGATATGATTTCAGGGTGTGAATATAACTCTCTATGCCAAGGTTGCAAGGTTCTTACAGCAAGCTTGTGAGCCAAAGGTCCCAAGGGTATATGTTGAGCTTTTCCATTGGAAAGGTTGAACCAGACATAGGACGTTTTCAAACCCCACCAGGAATATACAAAAAACGACCCTGTCGGAGCATCTGAGTGACATAGGCATGTCTTTTTCGAACCCAACCCAAATTCAAGGAATTCAAGGAACCTTTTACCAACAGGAGAAGCCAGAATTGCCTGTCAACTTGATGCAACATGTTCCATACTTCTGGCTGTGATCGAAGTAAGGAGCCCAAGAAAAGCCCCGCGAATGCGCGGTCGGAAAAAGCACACGCATTGCATGAGAAAAATCCAGTGTACAGTACCTCAAACCTAGCTACAGTCCTACAAACAGTTGGCTGATCAAAAATAAATAAAAAGGACTTTGCCAACTTCGAGACACGTTCTGCTTCTGTGCCACTTTCAGTGTTTCCGTCCGTCCCACTTTCAGCGTAAAGCGTCGCTCATTTTGCCCATGTCCCCATCCAGCGTCTGCTGAATTAAGCTGCCACCAGGTCGACATCGCAGCTGTCCCCAGGGGTGAAATTTCCGGTCTCCGGAGGTCTCCGGTCATCCGGAAGTCGCTGACTCGCCACCTCGGAATCGAGCCAAGTCCTGACGCTGTGAGCCGCAACTGTGAGCCGTGGTTCCCCGCCAACTCCTTGAGGTTGTCCAAATCTGTATATATACAAATCTTATTTCAAACATATCTCAATGCTAAAATGGGGTATGAACTTCAAGGAAGTATATGATTTTCGGACAAACCCGCTACTGCGACCACACCCGTGAAAAGGAGGGAAAAACACATCATGGTGCCGGTGAAATCGAAAACAGTCACACAAGAATTGTCTGATGCCCTTCGCTACCTGGAAGACTCAGTTTCAAAAATTCCAAGGAAATCTTCGGGAGGGGCCCACCCACCATCTCCTAGACATGTCTCTTTTTTTTCTGTCAAGACTTTCCACATGCATCCTTAGGTTTCACCCTCCAACGGTCCAACGGCTCTGGTCCTCTGATTTCAAGGGTCTGGCGGCCAGCAGCACTGCCTATGAGTCAATCGTCTGACAATACAGGCAGGGGCCCAGGGGGCTCTCAGACTTGGGTTCCTTTTTCTACAGTAAACAAGAAGCAGTCAGAAACCCCATGGTGATTCAATTTTGCATCTGAGAACCATGATAACAAACGGCTGTTTTGAACATGTGCCAGAGTTGACCAGACCAGCCTTCAGCCAAAGGTCGTTGAACTCTTCTTTCAGGGCTTCAGCACCTTGTTCTTTCCACAGACTAAAGGCCTGGCCAAAGAACTTCTGAGAATCCACCATGACTTGCGGTTTTGGAATGGAATTTGAATGGAACAGTTTGGGTAAGAGTTGTTGCAACATCCTAAGCCTTGCAAAAAATCGCTAGGATCAGAGTTGGACAAGGAATCTCACGGATGGATTATAAACCAGTAGACTTAAACAAGTCCTCACAAAAACAGACATGAGCATCCTGCGCTATGACCATTCCAATGAGATCCGACGTTTCAGATGCATCTGGCACTCATGTGCAGTACATCATACTTGTACCAAAACAAATAGCATGGTTGGAAGATGTTGGAAGGATTGAAAACGGTGAATCCTCGGACATTCAAATAGCGAAAAAATCCTACCCTGGTCATAGTGGGGGAGAAAACAATACATAGCAGAAAAACAATATGATAATGTATTATGTGTAATTATATAGATATATATCATGTATATATATATAATTATATAACATTCAACATCCAGATTTCCGAGTCACTTTCTGATGTTCATCCAGTCTGTTGCTGCTCCCTGCCATCACTGCCCCAACATGACGGGCAAACTGCGGCCAACACGCTGCGCCGTTGCTGCGCCTTAGATCGTCAGATTGAACCTTACCGTTCTTGCACGTCTTGACGATTCACAGATTTTTGTGAAAAGACCTGGCAAAATTCATGTGAATGTAAGGATGTGATAGGATGTGATAATTAGGATGTGATAGGATGTTCACCTAGCATCACCTTGCCCTGCTGGTCCTAGGACTCTCCTCTCCGCTGAGTCTACAACCAGTGCCTGCCGCAACAGAGCTACCTCAAGGGCCGGCCGCTTCGGTGCTGCGGGATGATCAATGGCGGATCGATGCCAGCATTTTACCATTAGGCCGACATTGGCTAGAAGCTTCCCATTAACAATAGCTTCCCTTAATTGTTCCCATGATGATACACTTCAACATGCTTCAAGTGCAAAACATCAGCCCAAAAATCGATAAAAATCGACCATGAAAAACAATTGACCTCGCCATGGGAAGCCGTTTAGGGGGGTCCTTCACCATTGCTACATGGCGAATGCCCTGCCGACGTCGCCCAGGTGGACTGTACATACTCGTCATATCTTGTCATGGGGGTCAATCCCACCTACACTCTGGTAAACTAACATAGCTATAGAAAATCACCATTTTGAATAGGTAAATCAATTATAAATGGGGTATTTTCACGTATTTTCAATAGCTATGTTAAATTACCAGAGGGTACCCCATTTCTAGCTCTGGTTCGTACTGTATCATTATCACTTCTGGATTTTCCATGGCTTTTCCATGGCTCCCAGCATGGCTCTTCCAGGCTCCAAAGGTCAACCCTTTGCTTCGTCCAAGCGCCTTCTGCCTCAGGTTTCTTACGGTGAAACATGGAAAAAATGGGGACATCATGAGGATATAATTGGGGAATTCTCACTTGGGAAATATAGTCACTATATGTCACTATAGTTCGCAAGTCATGAAACACGTTGAAAGGCATCTGTTTGAGGACCCCTTTTAAAAGGTAGAAGATCAAGTGGCCGCAAACAAGCATCATTCATTCCCTAACTGTTGGATACCTTGAAAAACATGGTCCGGTTTTTGTACATCAATTTTGTGCTGCCTATCTAAGGTTTACCCAGCATTCCAGATGACATTCAAAGCATGTTGATGTCAAAGTGGGGATGGGTAAAAGCCAAGGAATCGCCAACATGAACGAGGAGATGAAGACGCAGAAACAGCAGCTATTGATTTTTTGTTGGGAAAACTGCGAGTAGCAAATCCGATGAAGTAGACTGAATGTTGGTCTCAGTTTTTTCCTGCAAACAGTGGACTGCATAGGTATAGATGGCGATCTGTCAGGCCTTATTTCAATTGATAGTTCTGGAGTATGTGGTGCCTACCCCATGAATGTGTGCAACAACTGAAGGCAACCTAGAACAACTCTCATATGAAAGAGTCTCATGCTTTGAGGCATGCAGTGGTGCTCAAATGGCAACATGTACCAAAACAACCCTCGTATGGAAATAAAGGCTTCAGAAGTGGTTGTGCCCCACACCTGCCGTCAGTTGACAAAAAGCATTCCAACAGGGCAATGCTATTTCTTTGTTCACCTTAAAACGATGGAGCTTGAAAATTAACATATTGTGTCATGGTTAAACAATGTTAAACATGATTATATGAGCCACTTTCCTGCTGGTATTTACCTCTTATTTTTGGTGAAACCCTTCAACTCCGATTCTGAAGAGCCGGTTTGTTGCCCCTTCTGGTTGAATCCTGCTGGGAGCCTCACAACAGCAAGTCCAGCTTCAATCGCCTCTCCTGCGAAACTGTCATCATCGGCGGTATGGCTTCTTGTACTAGATAGTACCGCAAAAAAAAAAACGGAACTCCTGATATGATGTATGTAATATGATTCTATGTGTATTGTACTTTTTGATATTGCAATAATCATCAATAATCATATAGCGGTGTGTGCCGCTACTTTGCCAACGGTTGCCAAAGACTTAAAACTGCAACGGTGCTCCCAACGGGTGCATCCCAACGGGAGCAACGGAAGCCACACAACGGGAGTGGTTGGTGGTTGACCTACCCATCTGAAAAATATGAGTTCGTCAGTTGGGATGATGACATTTCCGATATATGGAAAAAAAGAAATCATGTTCCAAACCACCAACCAGAAATAGTTCACAGAATTCGGCCACGTTGCATTTTTCTCTACAAGCTGCTGGATGTGAGATGATCAATTTTGATTACACATTCAGGGTGCAATCCATCCGTATGTTTGGCCATGAAATCACCATCTTTTTTCCTCCAAAGTCGAGAAAATCCGAGAACTGGTCCAGGGTTCACTCTGAACTTGCTCCAAGGGTCCAAATATGAACAGCCCTATGGATGCATGATGGCAAACTTACAACCTGAGGACTCAACTTGAAAAAAAAATGCAGGGTCACCTTTCAAAGAGTTGCATCAAAAATCTCTGCAAGGATAGATACCGGGAGTAAGTTCAGTTCCACAACTGCGACCTGGGGCCAATTGCGACGCGCGCGGCCCGGATTCAAACTGGAACATATTCGGTCGGGCCCAGCGAAGATCTGTTCCAATCTTCACAGGGGCCTTAGGGAACGATCTAATGAAAAACATCAGCAAGTCCTGTGTTAGGCATATCTTGCTGTAGGAGACTGAAAGATCGGCCAAAAGAGCACAAAACTCCAGCCAACCTTCAGCCACCTTCGCGTAGTGAGGCGCCAAACCCTCAGGCCATAAAGTCACCTGGGCACCGAAAGTCATGACTGCACAACATCAAAAAGTAAAAACAATTTGGTTTCATTAAGTGTGCAGGCCAGTAACTTTCAGGGTCTAGTTTTACTATGTTTTACTGCCTCCTGGTCAACGACCAGCCAATCCATTTAGACGATTCGTTTTCCCCCCAGGAGTCTGAAAAATACAAAAGGTGTTTTTCCAATGTCGAAATCCTCTTTTCGTGGCGCAAATTCTCAGTGGATTGAATCAGTTGAATCAAATGTTTTCATACCAGAAACCTCTAAGGGGGTCCACTAGGCGCCTTAGCATGGGTCACCATTAAGCACCCCTTAGAATCTGACTGATTTTCAAATTGGGACATGGTTCAGGGATCCCATTGAATTGTCAAGCCGATTCAAACAATGGGAAGCCTGCCAGCTAGTGCGTAATTTTATGTCACGTGTCAGTGCGTGCCGGCATGACATTCGGCTTTAAGGGGGGTTCTATTACGCACCCCTTTACAACCATTAACCACCCCTTAGCAACGTGTCGCGCGCATGTCACATGTCAAAATCTGAAAAATTTGCACAACAACGTAGCGAACGTAGTGGCGGTGTTTGAGACTATGATCACTGGGTGATCACTTTGGCACTTTCAAGCCACAGGTCTTTCAAAAAAGGGGTGGAAACATGTGGTTTTTGCCTTGGAAAAACAGACGGACCGGCTCGATAAATCCATAATTCTTTGTGGATCAGCAGATGGTAAAATCTGGCGAGTGTCTGGTTGAAAATCCCACTGAACAAAACAAAACAACGCCTTGATGTCAGGATGTGTCAGGTGGCGTCACTTCTGGTAGCACTTCTTTTTCAGGTGCCCGGTTTTACCTCAGCAGCTCTCGAGATCAGCAGATTTTTGATGATTTTTGTTGGATGTTCAACAGCACATATTTGTGTTTTTGTTGACCATAGAAAATGGGCAACATCCTAAATTTTGGCCAGGAAAACATCAAAAATGTGGTTCTTGAAATTTGTGGATCACTTGATCGGTGAAAATTGGACTTTTGACTCCAAAAATGAGGACTTTGCATGGCTAGTGTGACGGGTTCCTTTCATCGCAGCTGATACTCGCTGTTGCAGACTACATCATGACATTTCAAACAAGAGCGTTTTCAAGACCTGGGGGCAACCAAGAATGGCCTATCCTGGATGGTTTCATTACCTACACTGGGTTCCCAGGCCACAAAGCTCACAACTTTTCTCTCGATTGGGGCACTCTGCCACTGCATGAACCGTCGATCCACAGCCTGAGGTCATCGGTTGGCGATTTCACCACGAAAAATCCATCAGCAAATAGCACCAATCAGGTTTGGATTCGGGATCATCATCACTTTTAAGGCTGGAAACAAACATAAAACCACCAACCACCAACCAGTCCTGGAAAACGATCAACAGAACTCTCATCCGCTCGGCACCTGATCCCAGCCCCTCTGAGGTCCTCGCAATGACATTGAGAAGGTTCATGGCAATCACGCAGCAGGTGGCCCTGCACACCTTGAAAAATCCCACGGATGGTCTCCGCTCCCAGCATGGGAACTCCAGGCCTCCAGCCTTCTGAAACCACCAGTGATTCAATTTTTTGGCGAAACATCAGTTCCTGAGCCTTGGGTGAATCCAATGCCCCTCTTCGCCAGGGCGCCACAGTTCTTGCACGTCTTCGCTAAGCCCTTGCCCTGGCACAACCCCCAAGGTGCAGTTTGGACCATGGGATTTTCCCCATCTCCCAATGGATCCAGTGGTTCCAACGCCCGCCTTGCCCTTGGTGCTTCCCTTGCCTCGCGGTGGTTCATTCTCTTTATCCTCGCCGCGGGGCATGTCTTTGGGGGGACGACATTGGGTCTGAAAGTTGTCAAATTTGAGCATGGAAAATGATGATAAACCATAGGATTCTGGTGCTTTTCCACATGGATGTATTCAATGTTCCACACATCAAAATCAAATCCAAACCGTCAAGACATAAAACAAGTATTTGTCAAGGCATTTTTAGGCTCCACAATCCCGCCGACTTCGCAGCTTGTCCCACAGCCTGTCTGCACTTCTTCTTCAAATGTCCCACCTGCAGATCTTGCTGCACCCCAAATACTCCTATGAGATAGGGGTCCATGGTCCAAGCCAAATCCTGGATCATTTTCCCCAACCACTTTAGACCTTCTCCCCGGGCATTCTTGGACTCATTTGGAGCTGAAACATGCTGAAAGCATGGCCATGGCCAGTCTTAGATGCCCCAAAAAAAACAGAGAGTCTTGGCTTAGCTGCTTAGCTGATCAGCCAGTTCTAATACAGCTAGCAAAAGATGAAAGTAAGAAATTAATAGAAATTATATAAACTTACACAATACCTTACCCAAGTTCGCCCAAAAGTTTCTCCAGTAACATGCAACTCCATCCTGGGTCCGAAACCAGCCCCGGTGCCTTGCCACAGTTCTCACAGGTCTTTTCCCGATGAGGACAGGCTGCAATTTCATGCACCGTTGCCTGAAAAAAAACCGCTGAAATCCTTCGAAAACACCCTGCAGGTTTGCTGAGATGTACTGTAGTTTTCAGGACAAGTCTGGAAAAATGGAGAAATTCATAGCATTCCCTGAGGTGCCCATAGGACAAGTGGATTCAGTGCGCAAGTTTTCCCCACTTACCCGGTTCTCTGACACCCAAAAAATCTGGTGAAACATGGTGAGACACCTGGCCAATTGAGCGTATGACTATCTGATTATATGACCACTTCCTTCAATGACCCTGCCGTTGCTTCCAACTGGGCAATCTCAAATATCTTGGAGCTTCAACTTTCCCCATCCCCAAAATCATATGCTCGAAGCAATTTGATGCGCTTTGAACCTTTCCCATGTGTTTTTCCGATGTTTATGCCATAAATTGGATTAAGTTGGGCCTATTCCCAACCCCAACCCCCAAGCCATCACCAAGTAGCTCCGCAGCAATGGCATTGCGCAGGGGCGGGGCAGTCCTTGGCGATGTGGCCCATGGTGCCGCAGTTGTTACCTCAGTGGACCCTTGCCTTTTTCGCTCGTGAGCTCCAACGCTTCCAAACCGCCAAGCTCAGCGGATGGGTATTTCTACCACCATTTTGAAAAACGTGGAACATGGACTCTGACCAGTGTCCTAAACCTGTGGAATTATATATACATATATATATATATGGAATTATATATACATATATATATAATATTATATAATTATATAATTATTTATAATCAACATAGGTTGCCTCTCCAAGTTGAACATTTAGTGCAAAACTAGAACATGCAGCCAGTCAAACAACGCTTGCAGCAGCCAATCAAACGGTGATGTGATTTCTGAAACTTCGGAGCATCCACGGCGAATGATTGGGCTCAACCATCTTGACCAAACGGCGCAGTATAAGCAGTGGTCATGGCTCTGGTATCCGTGGAGCTCCTGTTGGTGAACGCACAAGAAACTCCTATTGTAGGGATCCCAAATACTTCATGGCTGAAATTGGGTCATCCCTAAATCCACTGGTGA